ATAATTCTAACATTGGAACGTTTCATGGAATCATTAATTTCTCCAAAACTTTTTTCATAGCTGCCTATACCAGTTTTCCTCAATTTCTTTACTTTATATCAGCCTGTCTTCTACATAACCTATTCTCTTCTGCCTCACTTACCCTAGCTGTTAAGCACATCCAATTTAGACTGCATCTCATTCATAGCATTTTTAAGTTTGTCCTGATTAGATCTCATTTCTGCCCTTATAGATTCTATATTGTTACTAATGCTTTATTCAAGCCTAGCTATTGACTTTATGATTACTATCCTGAATTCTGTCTCTGACATCTTACTTATATCCATATCCATTAGTTGTGTCAGAGCCATTATCTCTGGTTCTTTGTTGAGAGTTTAGTTTCTCCTCCTAGTCATTCTGTCAAGGGATAGTTCAGCAAATGAACAGAGTTCAAAATATCAATCATGATCCAAGCGAAATACACCCTAGAAAAATTCCGAAGTGTTTGGAAGCTACCAGATATGCAAACAAAGCCAAGATGATTCAAAACAATTTTAAAAAGGCAATTATCTCTCAGGGTGGACAAGGCAGAGGGATCTACCTGTTCCTGATTTTTTTTTTTTTTTGGTCTGTTTTGGAGGATACTATATCATAAAAGTGCAAAGAAATCAGAAATTATATATATATATCAAGATAAAATTGAATAGAGTGAAAAATGGACTAGTATGGGGCATAAATCTATAAAATGGCATAAATCTATAAAATCTATAAAAATTTAAAAAGTAACAAAAATATAAATAAAAATCTATTTCAAACAGGAATAGGGTGAAAAAAAAAAGACACAAAAAAGAAATGTAAAACTTTAGCCTGAAGTATAAACAAAACGTGAGCACTTTCTGCTCAATTTATTATATTCTCCTGGTGCTGGAGTTTTACAGTCCTGTGGGAAATAAGCTTGTCATTCACCTGTTCTTCTAGCCTCTCTTCTGGAGGAGGGGCCTGCTGCTTGGCTTCTCAGGCATCTTTGCCTAAATGGAGTTGCCCCACCCTCTGTCAGGGGGTTGGGCTTAATGTGAGCTGATGCTTTTTGCGGCTTTTCTTCCTTTCAGCTTTCCACTTCTCTTTAGAGGGTCAGAGCAAATATGCCCGTGCAGGAATCTCTGGCCCAGAGCCACAAGGTCGTGGTGCCTTTTCTTCAATAAACCCTCTAGATCAAACCATCTCCACTTCTGTGTGTACCAAACCCCACAGACTCGCCCTGTTTGCACTCACGCTATTTGCACCTGCTGCCACTCTTCTGGGGGAGTTCCAGGGACCTACAGGTGTCTCTGAGCTTTGTGCTTTTGCAATTGTGAGCGGCTGTGGGCTTACATGTGCATCTACTTCTGCAGCAACCAGGTCACACCTGGGTGCCACCCCAGTGTCCTTTCAGGGGCACGACGCCCTGAGAACTGTTCCCCTGTCATGGGCACAAGCCATCTCATTTCTCCCCTGGAATGTTAAGCAGCCTGTACTTTCTAGTCCTTTTCAGAGTGCTCAGTGAGCAGTCTCCCTACTGGCCCAGTTCTTGGTTTATGGTGACTGGAGCGGAGAGTCCCTTCTGGGCTCGCTGACCATAACCAGTCTCCCCGCTCCACTGCTTGGGCACTCTATCGGTTCAGGCTCCCTGTTCTGAGTCTCCTGGAATCCTGAGACTACAATGATCCACCTCAAATTCTGCTCTGTTCATCTCCTGTGCCCTTTTCAGAAAGGGACATCTCTCACTGGAGATTTCTAAGGGTCCTGATTTTATGCTCCGGTGTTATATCACCCCCCACCCCACACACACACACACACACACACACACACACACACACAGAGACACCTCCTGGTATTTCCCCTGAAGATTCAAGGTTTCGCACCTCCTACCTTGCAAAGAGTAGTAGAGATCCAGGGAAATCTTCTTACATCTCGGGTTGAATCTTGTCTTCAGAATGGTTTGGTAGATATCCAGCTAAATTCGAGGGACCAGATGAAACAAGGTCCCCTACTCTGCTGCCATCTTGAGATTCCCCCTAGTCACATAGGACCATTATTAAAAATAACTTTCTGGTAACATTCTTCACATAACGTAGATATTTTGATCTCTTAACAAGGATGTTATTACTAATGCTTACTATGTTTTGTCATTTTAGGATTCTCATTAAGCAGCCTCCTACCCAACTTCTACAAATTAAAATTAAACCTCACAATTTCCAAACAAGATTTGAAGTCTTCTGTTTCCATTAAATCTGAATTTATGGTGGTGATTATCTAGGTTACATTGTGCGGACACAAAATGACAAAGGCAGTTTTATTTTTTTTCTTGGAAATTTCTGTAGAATGCATAGAAAATTTTCAGATTTGTTCAAGTTTTACCATCTTTGCATGTTCAATGTGTTAAACTTGCAATATAAATTACTGGCAAAGCTTTTGTTATCTGGCCTCTTTAAAAATTTGAGAAATTGCTGTGTTTGCTAATGATCAATTTTTAGGCAAAGTTGAGAGAACTGTAATTGGTGAAGTGGCCTACAGAATGCCCTTCATTAGATAGATCACAGTAGATTATTATGTCATTATGCAGTGTGTCTATTTCTAGGTTTTAATCCCAAGGTCTGCCTTCCTTCCTTTCTCTTAGATGGCTTGTAAGTTTAGTTCTATTTGCTTTAATAAAGGGAATGGAAATATAGTTCCTTGAAGCAGACTTTTACAGAGCAAATTACAGCAGGATTGTGCTGTGAGACCATAAAAAGGAGTATTTTAAATGTCTTGATTAAATAAACCATCCTGTTTGATCATCACTTGAGAGAAGGCGGTTCAGTGTATGAAGACAGTAAGAGTATAATCTTTCCTTCTCTTATGCTCATGTATTGTATCATGTATGATCTGTTCTCCAGTTTCAGAAATGACTAAGAAAGGTGCCATTTCTAGGAATTTAATGTGTTTTTAGCTGAAAAAATTAACCTTTAATGCTTGTTTTTGTTTAACATAGGTCCTCAAAATTATAATTATTTCATTTTAACTCTGGGTAAATTCCTGTTCCCGTTCATGCAACATCAAGACCTCTAGAGGCAGTGTAGATGGCTTTTGTTTTCATCAATACTAAATTTGTTTCTACTGAGTCAGTTTCTCCCCTTTCTATTCTACACCAAAATTACAACCTTGTAGTCAAATAAATTTACTGTTCTAATAAGCCCCCAAAGCTCAGATATACAAAGGGATCCCATAACACCAAATATCATACTGAAATGATCCTGCAGCAGACTCTCCTTTGAGAAATAACAAAATATTGAGTATTAATTTGAAAAATAAAATAATCTGTTCAATCATGCTTATATTTTTAGTTTTTCAAATCCTTTTTCCTCTTATTCAAACAACTCTTGTTAATATCAGAGACAAGGAAAATTTACAAAGCATTTTCCTTATGTGCTATGTAAGCATATCCAAAGACTTGAATTTTGAGTATTTTCTATTTGATAATGGGTAACCAATGTCAAATAATAGAAAAGTTTAACAACTAAACAAAGGCTAGATATTAATATTCACAGACAAAAAGCTCTAAAACTTTTTTTGGACTTTCTTTAGGAATTAAGATTTAGGATAACCACACAATAAACATTTAAGTATTTTTATCATATACATATACAGCAAGAGAAAACCTTTTAATGTAAAAACTGAGGAAAGTGATTAAAAACAGAAAAGCAGGAAGGTTAATACTTTTCATTTCACTTTACCTTGCAGGTTTTCTACTGCTCTATTAGAACCACTGACCACTACAAAAGTGGCATACATTAGACATCTACTGTATTAGGTAAAATAAGTTAATATAAACATCGGTTATAATGAAGAACGGTGGCTGAGAAAAGATTGATGTTAACTTTGATCTTATAAGACTGTCTGGAGACACGCAATCCAGGCCATGTATGATAGCACTTAAACTAAATTGTACAGCAACCCAGAACCCTTCTTTCTGTGTGATTCTCTTCCCCAAGTGTTGCCTCTTCTGGAGAGTTCAAGATGTCTCACTACCCGATCCACTTCTAAGCAACAAGCTCGAGAAGGGGCAAAAAAAAAAAAAAAAGTCAATGGCAAGGGACACTGGGAAATGCAGTCTGTTATGGCAGGCATGTGCCTAGCTGAAAATCAAATGTTCTATCACTATGTAAAGAAAGGTTACTGGGAAAAATTGGTGTTCTCTGATAGATATTAACGTAGTTAAAAATATAAGCTTACAAATCATTCTGCTGGGAACATGGCAGGATTTACTACCTGACAACTACTATTCTGGGTTTTCATTTCAAAAGTATTGTCTACTTCCATCATTCACTCACCAAAAGCAATGACATACAAAACACTGTCTGAGTGAGTTTACAAGTATGTTTTATTGGTATAAAACCAAAATAAGGTGATGTAATGGTCTGGTCTGCCAGTTAGCTATATAGAACTTGGTGAAGAAAAGGATTTTCTCTTACAGTTTCTTCATTGAGGGAAAAGGAAAATTTCTTCCTTTTAAAGTAACAAAATACTGATTTTGTTTGACTAAGCAATTTTAGGGTAGTAGAACAAAAATAGTTACTTATTTTTTATCAAATAAGTAAAAACTCATTAAAAAATTTTTACAGCTTCTGAAAAAAATCAGTAGAATTATAAAGCAGAGAAAGATTTCTCAAGGTATCCATGTATTTTTTTTTCCTCCTTCATTAAGGGAGAAAAAATGTTTTCATGATTTTGCTAAAAGATCTAACAATGCAGAGGTAGCCATGGAATGTCTTAAATCTCCATCTTACTGATGAATTCTCTTTCAATCTTCCTATGCAGAAGACTATAAAGTCAAATTACACAGCATTAAGTATAATACAGCCATAATCAGGGCTGTGCCTCATGATGCAAAAGCTCTCAATTCTGTTTCTATTTTGTTACATACAAAGTTGTCCTTCATCTAACTTGTTAAAACTACCCCTAATATAATCTTTAGAGAGTCAAAGTTACAAAACTGATACATATAAAGTTATTACTCTTATTTTTTTTTTTTTGAAATACACATATCCCAGTTTCCATTTTCTAGGAAAGGCGGAGCCTGAAAATTATATATTGTGAAAGCCACTTTACAGGAGACTTTATTTAGATGACCCAAGATGAATCAGTGCCATTATTGTTGTATAGCTGTGAAACAAGTCATCATCCTTCACCTCATTACACTTCTTCAATATAAAGTTCCCAGTGACTATGCGATCACATCCAATTTCTCCATTTCCAAAGAAGCCAAATAAAGGAACACTAGGAAAAAACTTCCTAAATGCATCAGCCTCAACATTGCCCTTGGCTCTATAATACTGAAAGCCCCTGCCAACACATGCAAACATAAAGCCAATGGTATTCCGTTCTGGAATGTTGGCAGCTTTAAGGCGCTGCACTGCAGCCTCAACGGTCTTCTCATCGTTGACATCCTCGTTGAGTAGCACAGTGGCACTCTGGATTCGGTGTCCACTAAATGATAGTCCAACCACACCAGTGGCATCAATATCCAGAGGGTGTCTGTAATTAAATTAGAATAGTGTAGTGATACAGCATAAAACAAAATATAGAATTCTTTTTTTAAGATTTTACTTATTTATTTGACAGAGAGAGATCACAAGTAGGCAGAGAGAGAGAGAGAGAGAGAAGAGGAAGCAGGCTCCCCGCCAAGCAGACAGCCCGATGCGGAACTCGATCCCAGGAGTCTGGGATCATGACCCGAGCCGAAGGCAAAGGCTTAACCCACTGAGCCACCCAGGTGCCCTATAATTTAAAGTGTAAAATAAAACTCCTGATTTGCTGGTTAGGAGCTGCTGACTTTAAGACCTATACCTAGTCTGAGGTTCACCTTCCCAGATAAAAGCAATGTAATAGGGATTAAAAATTAAACTATGAATACATTTAAAAGAATGCAGGGAAGCAGATCTGTGAAGAAGGAACTATGTTTTTAGTCACAAATTCAAGGGCCAAATGCATCTCCACAAAGATTTCTGAAAACCATCCTGGTCTTAGATATAAAGTGTCCTTAAAAGTTTCTCACTTTCTTAAAATGAATCTTAAAAGTTTTATTCATATGCATGACAGTATCAATTAAATAAAGCTTTCTGGTATTATTTACATGTTTTGGTATCTTTCTCCCCCCACCCTCAGCTGTCACATTCTAAAAAAGATATATTAGATATTTAATCATGGATGATAATTTTATTAAGAACATGTAACTCCAGGGGTGCCTGGGTGACTCAGTGGGTTAAGCCTCTGCCTTCGGCTCGGGTTGTGATCTCCGGGTCCTGGGATCAAGCCCCACGTCAGGCTCTCTGCTGAGCAGGGAGCCTGCTTCCCCCTCTCTCTCTGCCTGCTGCTCTGCCTGCTTGTGATCTCTCTCTCTCTCTCTCTCTCTGTCAAATAAACAAATAATAAAATCTTCAAAAAAGAAAAAGAAAAAGAACATGTAACTCCAGAAGTTTCAGCTTTATATTGTTTGGCCCATAAAGATATGAGATTCCATTCCTGTGTCTTATTTATTACTTTCAGCATAGAATTCAGCTTAACCTAAAGGTAAAAACATGTTTTGTTTATGTTTGCCTGTTTTTTTAAGGAAATATTTTATCCTTACTAAAGAAAATAGAAAGTGTCAAAGTTATAAAGCACAATATAGTGAACACCTATGGGGAAAAACAAATACCTTGTATTTCTATCATGTTTACCAACACGTTAGTTGATGAAATGGGCAAGATTCACTAGGCTAACAAGAAACTTAACTCAAAAAGCTTAAGTGACTAAGATAATAAGACTAGCTTAGTAGCAAAACCTGTTTCTGAGGAGAATCCACCTTCTGAAGTCCTCCACTTCTCCTTTATTACATCTCCTCTTTGGCATACCACTGCAACATATACTGTCAATATCCTGCCTTAAAGAATGATTTACCTTTTGTTTTTCTGGGAAGGTGGTATCTGGACACTATTAAAGTGGAGCTTTGATTTACGCAATGGCTTCTCTTACCCACCGACAATGGGAAGACCACACTAAAATTAACATGTCATGTAAAGGGTTAACAATTCTTGAGGGCTATTTCCCACAACAGGTATAAAAAAATGATGAACGGACACCTGACCATGCTAACAGGCTCACATCTCAGACTCTGTATGTCTGGTCTGAGACTGGCATTTCAAAGGTAAACGAAGTATTAAATCATCACTGCCCCATTTTATACAATTTAGAGGTATAAGCAAAGACACAGAAAATCAGGTAAGAGGAGAGATAATCCACAGGTAATTACTGAGAATTAGGTGTATTTATGTATGAAATCCAATGTCTGATATTCTAAGCAGAATTCTGAGCACTTGCTTTCCTTCCATCTTCCTCACCAGCAGTCCAAGGACCTCGACTTAGCTACGGGTGACCCTTGAAGACCATGCGTCCATTTACATGTGGATTTTTCTTGACAAGTACAGTACTGTAAATAATTTTCTTAATAACATTGTCTTTTCTTAGCTTTTCTTGTAAGAATATATATATATGTGTTAACTGACCATGTTATCAGTAAGGCTTCTGGTCAACAGTAGACTATCAGTAGTTAAGTTTTTGGGGAGTCACAAGTTATACATGGATTTTCAATTGTGCAGGGATAGGCACTCCTATCCCCTGCATTGTTTAAGAGTCCTCTGTATTTGCTTTCCCTGATCCCTGACCAGCTGTAGCTGATCCATTGGTAGAGACTTCCAGAAGGGAAATTATAACCAGGATGATTTACACTGCTTTTAAAGACTGATCTCTTAACATCTGTTGCCATTTCACTACTCTAGTATCCAAGTACTAAACACAAATATAGTGAGAAATGAATAGTAGTATTTGCAGGAAGCATCTGGGGATAAGAGGTTTTCATTTTCTTGCTTTTGGATATTCATGTCCACTTAATTAGCTCAAACTCAAAAAATACTACAAACTCTTATTCAAAATGCAAAGGGAGTAATAGCTCCCAAGATAGCTGAAGCAAATATTTTTCATCTTCAAAAGCAAAAAAGCCTTAGTAATAAAATCAAGAAGCCTTTCAAAAAGATCTAGTATTTCCCAAAATGTGTGCCAAGTCATACCAATAGGTGTCCAAGATGCTCCACAGAACAGATTTGAGAACTGTCATTCCCTCTAGATTTCCATAGCACTGGGCATATCAGAGGCTCTAAGTTGTTTTATCATGAAGATTCACTGTTTAAGCATGTGCTTCCTTTAGAGGAGAAAACAGAACTACAGAGAAGTGATCACTAAAGAACATATAAAGTGTCAAAGTTATAAAGCATAATATAGTGTGGTTGTATATAGTACAGAGCTGTCGGGAAATACCAGTAGATACTGCTGAAAATCAGTTTTGAGAAGAATACGAATCCAATTCAGAGTAAGTTATTAGAAGACAACATGAAAATTTCATTCTTTAACTGTAAGCAGAATTATGCGGAGTATTTTAAAATGGAATGAACTGTTAGCTCAGCAATTCTGTAAACATGTATTTGAAAAACCCAAGGTAAGAAAAACCTGAGAACATTTCTGGTCATGTATAGGAGAAATCAGAAGCACATGAGATATACCTGTCAGAGGTCAGCGATGCCAGGTTGTCTACCTGGCCCCCAGCCAAGATGACGTTCATATCACTAAAAGTGCTGACGACTCGCTGCAGGTAATTACTGGCTCCCACCTTACAGCAATTATAGCCAAATACCAGGACCACACGAAGCTCAGGGTTATCTAAAAGACCTGCAGAGGAAAGAAGAGCAACAATTAAAGATAGCCTTAAAACAAGTATATCAAATTTTATTACAATCTTATTTTCTACATTTTTACAAAATGAAATGTTTCTGCTAATGACTTGCACTTCTAGTTATGTGCAATATAGTGTTGAAGCTATCCTATTTCCTTTTTTATTTTCTTTACAAACTTTAACCCTGCTCAAAATGTTTGCTGCCATTAATTTTCCCCATTAAAAAGAACAAAATGGCTACTGAAAATAATACAACCCACACTCAACACAAATAAGGAAGCAGCTGTGGGACTGAGCAGCACCCGTGGTGGAGCATGATATAAGCCATCTCTATACAGGCCACCACCTGGAATGAAAGGGATCAATGGTTTACACAGAACAGAGTTAGCAGCAGTGATAATATAAAGATCTGGAAAAAAAAAAAGAAAAGGTGCCAACCACCTGTAGTGTGTTTAATGGTGGTCACCCCAAAAATGTATTCACATCAGATCTCTGGAACTGATGAATGTGAACCCATTTGGGAAAAGGTTCTCTGCAGATGTGATTAAGGATCTTGAGATGAGATCATCTGTTATTATCCACGCAGGATCCACAAATACTATGATAAATGTCCTTAGATATACAAGAGACACAGACATAAGAGGAGGCAATGTGACCACTGAAGCAGAAACTGAAGTGATGCAACCAAAAGGAGTATCAATACCCACCAGAAGGTGGAAGAGGTAAAGGAGATGCACCCTAAAGCCTCCAGAGAGAGTGCAGCCCTTTCAACACCTTGATTTCTACTCTCGGACTGTGACAGAATCCATTTCTGTGGTTTTAAGATCCCACATCTGTGGTCATTTGTTTTAGCAGCCCCAGGAAACTGATACATCACGAAAATATATAGGCCCAATGCACCTTTTCTAGGAGAGGGGGTGGGAGTGAAGATAGATTTCAAATTCTTTCCAAAGCAGGAAAATGTTCAATTCTGCAGCATATGGACAAAAAGCAGCTTCCATTAGGGGGCGATATAGCCCAACAGGAGAACTGCTGTACTCCTCCACTCCCCAACAAACTCCCCAGCTTTCACCCGAGCCTCTGGGCACTTTAAGACTATCAATTTGAAAATTTCTGGCATTATCAAACTCATAATTGGACAGGAAAAAAAAAAAAGCCAATACCTAACTCATACTCCTGTTTCCACTGAGTCAGCCACATGACTTGAATCTTGACAGACCTAAAATGAAGGTCATCAAAAATAAGGCTCACTTAAGGAAACTGAGGTGTGGGGCAGGGGAATGACTAATTACACCAAATAATGACTTATCAAGGGAAACCTCCTCTGGTCCACTTTTAATTCTCTATGTAATAAATCACTGATCTGGAGAATGAAAAGGATATTAATATACAAATCCAGTACTTTCATGATTCCATATACCCTAAACCATTACTAAAAGATCTTTTTTCCCCCACAAAGACCAGAGCAGCACATTTGGAGAGAATGTTTTTTCTTTTCTAAAATGAATTTTCAGAGTTCGAAGAGGGTTGTGGGATCAACAGTCTAGTGTTACTTACAAGTAAGGCTGCTACTCCGAGAAAAGTGACCAGCCCAGGAGAGTAACATGGTAGGCTCTAGATTAAAATGCACACCTCCTCTCAGATTTTTAAGTTTCAGAAACCTAAAGCTTCTAAATCTCTGCCTTCCCTACTGTTTTCTAACCTCTAGACCCTCTTGTATAATTGTCTAATAAGCATTCTCATCTGCCACCTTCATTTATTTAACAAACACATAGCCAGTGCTTTCCACATCTTCCTCCAGTGGTATTGCTCTACTACTGAGTCACACACACCCAAACTGAGAAACTACCATCACTTCCCCCTTCCCCACCTTTTAGAGAACAAATCCACCTTAGCTCCAGATGGCTGGCTGACAGAGCAGATTGGGGCAAATCATCTGGAGCTTCAGATATGCAACAGAAGGAAGGAACAACTCAAACCCCTTGCCACTCAAAACTGAAATGCCTAAAGAACACTTGCCTGAGAAGACCACCGAGCTCTTTTTGAGGTCAGTCTTGGCACTGCCTTTAGCCTTGTCTCAGTTTACCTCTGTGGGGGAAACGATGGCCCTCTACCCAGGACAAGCCTCTTAGATCTTTCAACTTCCAAGAAAGCACGTTAGCCACTTCCCCAGCTCAGCCACTTGTTGGGCAGATGACCACCCAGCCCAATCTCCAGTTCGCTGTTACTTGAAATCCAGCTGTAAGATCTAAGTCACAGCAGAGTGAGTGCCTAAAGAACATGTGGGCCATCCATTCCTTTAGTGGGTCTAAACATTCTTAGATAAAGCAGAAAGCTCAATGAGCAGACCTCACTGGTTTGGCCCCTATAACTGCTTTTATGAAGTCTCACTTGGGGTGATGCCACTGGTGCTCAGAGAGTGACATAAGAAACTTCTTGAATCCAGAACAATTCATCTCCGTTCTCGAAAAATGTGAAGGGCTGGGCTTTTTTTGCTCTGGCTCAGCCAAACCTTTGGACCACCTCTAGCAAGTATTGATGGTATAAATTTCGTGAACTGTCCTCAACCCTGGTTTCACTGTGTTCTTCCTACACATGTCCCTCAATTCAGAACTCCTCTACTGATTGTATATATATATCTGTGTAAGCTGACTTAAATTCATTTCAAATAAGGCAGAATATAAATTCATTATGGCTATGATCTACTAGAAGGCTAAAAGGAAAATAAAAAAAAAATAAATAAAATTCAGATACCAAGACCCAAGTCAGATTCAGAGAAATCTGGAAATTCAGGAAAGCCAAAAAAGAACTATTCTGAAGATAAGCCAGGACTCCTTGGAAATACTTTAGGTCTGCATGTTCAGATTTCTCTTCTTTTTGGAGAAGCCACTTTTATTTTTTTTTTTTTTAAGATTTTATTTGACAGAATGAGAATGAGAGTGAGAGACAACAAGCAGGGGGAATAGCAGGCAGAGGGAGAGAGAGAAGCAGGCTTCCCGTTGGGCAGGAAGCCCGATGCAGGGCTTGATCCCTGGACCTTGGGATCATGACCTGAGCTGAAGGCAGATGCTTAACAACTGAGCCATCCAGGTGCCCCTGGAGAAACCACTCCTGAGACAACTATTTTATGATCTGTTTGAAAGTGATGGAATCTAAATGCATGTAGGAAACATACTTCAAAGAAAACATCTACTTAAAATGAGACTAATACCATAAATAATTCATGGACCAAAGCTGGATTCTCTCTTCCCCACAACTTTCTTTCCTGGGATTTTCATGCCTATCTTTTTCACACTAGGGGTGGGCAAGTATTAAGTCATAACAGTAAGGAAGTGGGCTTTGGAGTAAGAGCAGGGTCAGAACTCAGGCTCAACCACTTGCAGCTGTATGACTTTGAGCAAGTTACTGGACTTTACCAAGTTCAGATCCTTCCTCTAAAGCTGAGACAGGAGCAAGTCTCAAGGGTTGTTTGGTGAAGATAAGATAATGTCATAAAGTAGCAACTATTCTGGTGCCTGGTACCCACCATGGGCTCAACACAGCATAGCTAAGAAATTCTAATCTGCTTAAACTGAGGCCTCGACCATAAGTTAGGTTTGTTTCACCAAATAATAAAATGATGAAGTTTAAGGCAACATTTTCCCTTGAATTAAATGAATCTAAAGTAAACACCAAATTTAGAGGTAGGGGAAAGAAGCATGCATCCTATCCTCAAAAGTGACTGGGGGTTTCCTGTGTTGTTCTGACTTTTGATTCAAAAGTCAAATGAGATGTGCCTTATCTCTGATGTTATACAATAAGAAACTATGTCACTGTGTATGTGGGAGGAAACTTCCACTCCACGAACATGGAGCCTGTGGCACAGGGACTGGAGGTGGGAGGCATGGTGGGCTGAGGACTGTATTCTGCCAATACTACAGCCTGGGAGAAAGCCCCCACTGCCCTCTTACAGTCTGAATTTTCTGGCCCTCTGCTCCCATTCTAAATGGGAGTTTACCACAAGGGCATGAAAGCGTAACAGAACACTGACACCACCTTCCTGTCCCTTAAGATTTTTTTGTAAGCTGGGCAGCGTCTAAAAGTAAGTACCATCAGTTAGGTTTTAGCACCGCTTTAGCACCATTTTTCTCTGCTTTGCATCAGATCACTTGCATCACTCCCTCAAGATTCTCTATGAAATCTCCATATAATTTAAAAACTTAGTCCTTCGACAGAGTCTCAGGAATTTCATCTCGTCCCAGGAATTCAGCTCAATAGCTATTTAACCATTCTGAACACCTATAAACTCAACTGAAGGACGAAGAAAAGAATAACAGCAACTCTATGAACCACTTTCTGCAAGATAGAAGGTGTAGAGAAGTGAATCTGAGGCGTTATTTGGGAAGAAACACTGTGGGGGGAGAAAGCCTCCATCAGCCAGCTCCCAGCAAGTGACAGAGCAACAGAGGACAAAATCAGAACGGTTAGAAGTCTGCTCCAGTGGCTAAGCAGGTGGCAGGGGGTGGAGCCCTTGCTGGGACAGTGTGGTCTCAGGACCCTTGGGGTCATAGAAAGACCAGGGATACCTGAGTGGGACAGAACTCCCAAATATCAGTATAGGGAAGCTGGCTACAAAGAATGAGCCCAGGAGTGGGCTTTCAGCTTGGGGTTGCCATAAACTATAATCCATGGCACAGTCAGGTCCCTGCTCTTCGAGGAGGAACTCAACAAATGGCAGATCCAGGGACACTCCCCTTCACCCCTGGGAGGAGTAGCATGGGAGTGCTGCTGCAGGAATCTGCTGGGTGAGCATGGAGTATGGCCGGAGACCAGGGAGACAGGTGAGATAGGCATGAATGACAGCTTTCCTCTAAGGGTGCACAGAGGAGTGAGGGCCCGAGCTCTCAGCTCCTCCAGGACCATTTTCATTCTTGTCTTCTAAAGCTGCAAGGAAAGCTTTCAGGGAACAAAAGCCACAGAGAGCAAACCCAAGCAGATGACTCAGCCTGGCCTGTGGCAAGGGCAGTGCAATTCCACTTGGGGAAAAGACATTTGAGAATCACTGCAACAGGCTCCTCCCCAGAACATCAGCAAGAACATCCAGCCAACACCAAGTTTACCCACCAAGAACTGCAAACCTCCAGCTCTAAGGGAATTCAGTATATAGAATTATGGCTTTTTTCCCCTGATTCTTTAGTCTTTCAACTTTAATTTCTTAAATTTTCTACTACTTTATTTTTCTTTTGGAATTGTTCTTCTGTCCTTTTTCAACCAACTTCTTATCAATTCCTTTATTAAAAATCTTTAATTTTCATTGTTACAGTCACATGCCATGCATTCATTGTATTTAAACTGATTGTTGTATATATGTAGATTTTCTTTAAAATTTTAGGATGCAGATTCTTCTAACAGACCAAAACAGACCCAAAATTTAG